ATTCCTGTGTCTCCACATCCTTGTCAACCCTAGACATTACCAGTCTTTTGAATTTCAGCCATTCTGGCAGGTGTATAGTAGTGGTATCCTACTGAGGTTGTGATTTATATTTTCCTGATTACTAATGAGGCCAAGCAGGTTTTCATCTACTTACTGGTCCATTAGGTATCTTCTGAAAACCCATTTTCTATTGAATTGTCTATCTTTGCTTTATTGACTTGCAGAAGCCCTTTAAAGATTTTAGAGGTGACGGCCGCTGCTGCGGCATAGCAGGTAAAGCTGCTGCCTGCAACATCTGCATCCCATTTGAGCACTGGTTCATGTCCCAGCTGCTCCACTTCCAATCCAGCTCCCTGCTAATGGCCTAGGAAAAGCATCAGAGAGGGGCCAGTGCTCTGCGTAGTAAGCTAAGCCTCTTCCTGTGGCATCAGCATCCCATATGGGTGCTAGTTTGAGTCCCAGCTGCTCCACTTCCCATCCAGCTCCCTGCTAATGGCCTGGGAAAGCAGTGGAAGATGGCCCAAGTGCTTGGGCTCCTGTACCCATGTGGGAGACCTGAAAGAAGCTCCTGGTTCCTGGCTTTGAGTCGGCCCAGCTCCAGCCGTTGCAGCCATTTAGGGAGTGAGCCAGCGGATGGAAGACCTCTTTCCCCTTCTCTCTGTCTGTAACTCTGCCTCTCAAATAAAGAAATATTTTTTAAAAAGTTATTTAAAAAAAAGCATCAGAGAATGGCCCAAGTACATGAGTTCCTGCCACCCATATAGGAGACCCGGAAGAAGCTCCTGGCTCCTGGCTCCTGGCTACGGCCCAGCCTTTTGACAATTTGGGGACTGAACCAGCAGATGAAAGATTTCTCTCTCTCTATGTAAGTCTTACTTTCAAATAAATAAATAAATCTTTTTAAAAAATATTCTAGAGATAATTCCTTTGTCAGCCATATGTGTTGACATATCTTGTCCCACACTGTGTCTTGCTTTTCACCCTCTTACTGACAGCTTTTGATAAACAATTTCTAATATTAAAGTAGTATTACCAATTTTTCCTTGATGATCACTACTTTTTAATCTTAGATATTTATGCCTATACCCAAAGTCAGCACTTTTGCTTCTTAAAATCTTTTCTGTTAATCTTCAAAATTTAGATCTAAAGTTCACTTTTGAACTTAGTGTATGGTATAAGACCAATGGTATAACATTGGTCTCAATGTTTTTCAGAATGAATATCCACTTGACTTATCCATTTACGGATAAGAACACTGAGAGTCGGTCTGTTTCTGGACCTTCCATTCTACTGGTCTACTTATGCATCCTTGTACATTCATCTTTTTTTTTTTTTTTAATTTGACAGATAGAGTCAGACAATGAGAGACAGAGAGAAAAGTCTTCCCTCCGTTGGTTCACCCCTCCAAGTGGCCGCCACGGCCAGAGCTGTGCCGATCCAAAGCCAGGAGCCAGGTGCTTCCTCCTGGTCTCCCATGTGGGTTCAGGGCCCAAGGACTTAGGCCATCCTCCACTGCCTTCCCAGGCCACAGCAGAGAGCTGGACTGGAAGAGGAGCAACCAGGACTAGAACCCAGCGCCCATATGGGATGCCATACCACAGGCGGAGGATTAACCAGGTGAGCCACAGCGCCGGTCCCTGGGCTCTGGTTCTTATCCCAGCTGCTCCACATACAGTCCAGCTCCCTGCTAATGGCCTGGGAAAAGCAGTGGAAGATGGCCTAAGAGCCTAGGACTCTGCTACCTATGTGGGAGAACTGGAAGAATCTCCTGGTTCCTGGCTTCGGTCTGGCCCACTGCAGCCATCTGGGGAGTGAACCAGCAGATAGAAGATCTTTTAATATACCCCCCGTAACTCTCTCAACTAAAAAAAGCTCTAAAAGAATCTTTTTTAAATCACAAAAGTAAAATTTTTAAAAAAGCAATAGATACTTTATGAAAGAATATTCACTGACACTTTTTTAATGATTTATTTATTTATTTATTTGAAAGGCAGAGTTACACAGAGAGAAGGGGAGGCAGAGAGAGAGAGAGGTCTTCTAACCACTGGTTCACTTCCCAATTGGCCACAATGGCTGGAGCTGCGCCGATCACAAGGCAGGAGCCAGGAGTTTCTTCCAGTCTCCCACGTGGGTGCAGGGGCCCAAGCATGTGGGTCATCTTCTACTGCTTTCCCAGGCCATAGAAGAGAGCTGGATCGGAAGTGGAGCAGCCGGGTCTCGAACTGGCACCCATATGGGATGCTGGCACTGCAGACGGTAATTTTACCTGCTACACCACAGCGCTGGCCCCGACACATTTTTTAAAATGATAGAAAGTGGCAACTTTAGATCATGACATATTATTTCATAGAAAATGCAAATTATATACACATACATGTATTTCATAGACTTGGAAGAGTATATTCAAATTTTGGAGGAAGAAAGTTAAGATTTCATTTTAAAAACTTATTTATTTTGAAAGAGTTGGAGAGAGACAGAGAATGAGAGAGAGAGAAGGAGATTGATTCTCCATCTGTTGGTTCACTCCCCAGATGTCCACAACAGCCAGGGCTGAGCCAGGCCAAAGCCAGGAGCCAACAGCTTCATTCAGGTCTCCCACAGGGATGGCAGGGGCCCAAACACTTGGGCCATCTCCCATTGCTTTTCCCAGGCCATTAGCAGGGAGCTGGACTAGAAGTGAAGCAGCTGGGACATGAACCGGCACCTGTATGGATGCCAGTGCTGCAGGTGGCAGCTTTACCTGCTACATCACAATGTGATGTTCAAAGTTCAGATTATCAAAGAGCTTTCATTTTTGCTGTATTGCCTGAATATTTTACAATGATGAGGTATTAGAAAACAAAATATTCATTTAAAATTTACATTATCATGTTTTATTATGATACATAATTATTTCTCAATTTTGAATCAGTTTTGTTACACTGATTTTTTTAAAAAGATTTGTTTATTTTAAAGGCAGAATTACATAGAGGCAGAGAGGTTTTTATTTATTTATTTACTTACTTGAGAAGCAGACTTACAGAGAGAGAGAGAGAGAGAGAGAGAGATCGATCTTCAATCTGCTGGTTCATTCCCCTAATGGCCACAACAGCTGAAGCTGGGCCGATCCAAAGCCAGGCGCTTCTTCTAGGTCTCCCACATGGATGCAGGGGCCCAAGTACTTGGGCCATCTTCCCCTGCTTTCCCAGGCCATTAGCAGGGAGTTGGATCAGAAGTGGAGCATCTGGGACTCAAACTGGTGCCCATAGGGGATGCCAGCGCCACAGGCAGAGGCTTAAACTACTATGCCAAGCACCAGCTGAGAGAAAGAGAGAGAGAGAGAGAGAGAGAAAACTTCTACTGGTTTACTCCCCACATGACTGCAATGGCCAGGGCTGGGCCAGACCAAAGCCAGGAGCCAAAAGCTTTATCCGGTTCCCCCAAGTGAGTGGACAGGCCATCCTCCACTGCCTTCCTAGGTGTGTTAGTGGGGAGCTGGGTCAGAAGTGGGGCGGCCGGGTCTGCAGCTGGGCCCACATGGGATGCCAGTGTCACAGGTGACGGCCCTATCAGCCACAACAACGGCCCATATACTGATTGTTTAAGGGCTGTTTTGAGGCCCATTATTAAGAGTGGCACTGGAGTACAGCCCTTGATTATTATTTGCGCATGCTGATGGATCTCATTATAAAGAATTCATGAGCCTTGTGCTGAAAGGTACACCAGCTTATCAAGGCACAGCACGTTTACATGACACGCAGTGGCACACTGGCAGGATGCAGACTAATCCCACTAACACCATGAAATGAGGTTACTTGGATGCTGAGACAGATTTTGCAACTGCAATCCTAACTCAAGTTTGGTTACGAAAGCCATGCTGACCCCACTACTGTTTCACATGCATATGAGAACCTTCTATTAAAACAGACGGCCCCAGGAAGTAGGCAGGGAAATGATCACTCTACTTCCGACTCTTGCATACGAAATCTCCCAGTGACAGAAAGGAGGACAGAGCAGTCCTACCGCGTCGGCCAGGCCCAGTCCTGCTCATTGTGGCCACTCAAGGAGTGAACAGCTGACAGAAGTTTGTTCTCTCTCCCCCCTCCCTCTCTTTCTCTCCCTCCCTCTCGCCCTCCCTCTCTCTCCCTCCCTCTCTCTAACTCTTTCAAATAAAAAGTAAATTAAAAAAAAAAAAACAAAACTGGGGCTAGCACTGTGGCACAGCGGGTTAAAGCCCTGGCCTGAAGCACCAGCATCCTATATGGGCGCCAGTTCTAGTCCCGGCTGCTCCTCTTCCGATCCAGCTCTCTGCTATGGCCTGGGAAAGCAGTAGAAGATGGACGAAGTCCTTGGGGCCTGTACCCGCATGGGAGACCCAGAAGAAGCTCCTGGCTCCTGGCTTCAGATCAGCACAGCTCCGGCCATTGTGGCCATCTGGGGAGTGAACCAGCAGATGGAAGACCTCTCTCTCTATCTCTACCTCTCTCAGTAACCCTGTCTTTCAAATAAATAAAATAAATCTTTAAAAAAAAATAAAAGACTTTACTAAAAGATTCAATGATCTTTTCTGGCATTTGCCTTTAATTATGCTACCTTTGCAGATTATTTGAAGACTAAAACACATCTTTTATAAACTATAATCTCCCATATATGACCCATCTAGAGCACACCAGAGACATCATCTTGCAAAAACTATTCTGCTATTTCCAACTCTGAGTCATGAACCCAATTCCTCGCCTGCATCACCAGGAGCTAAAAAAAAATTAGAAGCAGCTAGACCATCCAAGGTATTTTTAATTCAAACAGACTCCCCAAGGCATCTATTGAGGCCATCAGTCTCCCGTGAGAGGACTGTGAGGCTGTCCCTCAAAACCAGGGCTTGAGAGCAGGAGGAGGAGCAGCAGCAGCCAACAGCAGGAGCAGCAGCTGCAGCTCCCAGGATCTGCTGCTGGGACTTCAGGACCCTGGGTCTCCAACTCTGCTCCCGTTAACAGAGATTGTGAAGTCAAGTTTTCACTTACATCAGCACAGAGTGTTGTAACCTTTATACCTTTGACCTTGGTCCATTTGCGTATATACCTGAAATGAAATTGCCAGTTGTCACAGATTTTATTTAAATCAAAAACAGGATATTTTAAAAATATGTAAACTCTAAAGTGTTATTACAACAATAAAACAACTGATTCACTGGTTTTTGAATAGAGAAAATCAATCTAAATTATGGAAAATTTTTTCAAAAGGACTTTTAACTTTTAGTATCTAGAATGGAACCAATTAGTATCCAACAGGAAATCTTGTAGAATATGTTTCTTTTCTCTAAATTAAAAAGTATTTGTGGGGAGCAACTCAGACTAGACTAAGTTACTGGAATTAAGACTTATTCTATGCATCTGCTCTCCCACAATATGGTGCTGGGAGAGAAGTAAACAACTTCTACACAGCTGCCTCCAGTTCAACCAATAACCTGCAGGAGCTGATCCTGCTCCTGATTGGAGGAGAGCAGCGTACTCGGCATGTGGGTAGCAGAGTTGGGATTGGCGGAAGAGGACTATAAAGGAGGAGAGAGACAACATGCACGAGGAACATCTATCTGAAGGAACACCTGTGCAGCACCCGAGAGAGCCGGCCGGCGGTGTGCCGCTCCCCCGTGGAAGTGGGGAAAGTGGCAGGGGGAACCACGGAGGTGGAGGGGTTGCCAGCCAACCCGGGAAGGACCAGCAGCAAACCCGGGAAGGGCTGAGCAGACAAAAGAACAGCGCAGGGTCCTGTGTCGTTCCTCCGCGAGAGGGGGAGCGACATAATGGTGCCGTGACTCGGATATGAAGCCTAGGAGGGATAATGGTGCCGTGATTGGGATAAGAAACCTGGGAGGGAAGAAGCAGGAAAATCCCGGAGAAAGAGATTAGCAAAGAGCCTAGGGAAAAGCCAGACGGAAAAGTGCCGGGAGAAATCTAGGGTTGAAAGTGAAAGTGAAAGCAAGAAGAAACATAGACTCGGATACAGACTACGGGGGGGGGGGGGGGGGAAGCTGGGAGAAATCTAAGATTAAAAGCGAAAGTGAAAGCTAGAAGAAACTTAGACTCGGATACGGACTGTAGGGAGAAGCCAGGAGAAATGAGAGAAATATTGTTGGAAGAAACTTAGGGAAAAGTACTGGGTAGAGAAAGATATAAGCTAGGGAAAGTGAAGCCGCGGGGGCAGGCCAAAGCGGAGACGTAAGCTAGGTTGGGATTCGTCAAGTCAGCCCGGGGAACAAAAGGCGAAAAACTAAAACCAGAAGCGGAGACGTAAGCTAGGTTGGAATTCGTCAGGTTAGCCCGGGGAACTTAGACTGAAAACCGAGAAGCGGAAACGTGAGCTAGGCTGTGATTCGCGGAAGCCACCGCACGCAGAGAAAGTGCACGGGGCACAAGCGGAGAGAGCGCACAGGGCGCAAGTAGACAGGGAGCGCGGGTCTAGCGCGGAGGCCGTGAGGCAGGCGCGAGAAGGCGCGGAGACCGTGGAGCGCGCGCAAAGCCAGGAAGCCGCGCAGATGAGAGAAGCGCAGGCTGAAGCCGCGCAGAGCCAGGAAGCTGCTGCGGGGCGAGGCGCCGAGAAGCAGCCTTGGGGAAGGCGCCGGGAAGCCGCGGGGATAAGAGAAACAGAAGTATAGAAGTAAAATGAGAGAAATAGGAATGCTGGCAGATAGAAGTAAAATAGGAGAGATAGGAATGCCCGGAGATAGAGAAATAGAGAAAAATAAGGCCTCCCCACAACACGGCAATGAGAGGGCTTGGATTCGGTCTGCCTGATTAGGCGATAAGCACCAGCAGGCAGCTCGAGCAGAGTATGCGCCGCAGGTCACCGAAGATAGGCACGAATCAACATGAATAAGTCTCCCCACAATACGGCAATGAGAAGGCTTGGATTCGGTCTGCCTGATTAGTAAGGCGATAAGCACTTGCAGGCAGCTCGAGCAGAGCATGCACTGCAGGGCACCGAACACAGGCACCCATCAGCACCTAAAACCCTCCTCACAAAACATGGCGAAGAGAGGACCCGGATTCGGTTTGCCTGATTGGTAGAGCTTGTAAGCACCTGTGGGCAACTCCAGCAAGCAGAGCAGAGTGTGTGCCGCGGGGCACCGAAGACAGGCGCGTATCAACGCCAAAAATAAAAAGAAAGGGGGAACTGTGGGGAGCAACTCGGACTAGACTAAGTTACTGGAATTAGGACTTATTCTATGCATCTGCTCTCCCACAATATGGCGCTGAAAGGGAGTAAACAACTTCTACGCAGCTGCCTCTCGCCAACTTCACTGATGAGCAGCAGGAGCTGATCTTGCTCCTGATTGGAGGAGAGCAGCGTGCTCAGCGTGTAGGTAGCAGAGTTGGGATTGGTGGAAGAGGACTATAAAGGAGGAGAGAGACAAGATGCACCAGGAACAACCGGATAACATCTGAGCAGCCCCCGAGAGAGCCGGCCGGCGGTGTGCCGCTCCCCCGCAGAAGTGGGGAAAGTGGCAGGGGGAGCCGCCCCTCCACGGAGGTGGAGGGATCGGCAGCCAACCCAGGAAGGACCAGCAGCAAACGCGGGAAGGGCCAAGCAGACAAAAGAACAGCTCAGGGTCCTGTGTCGTTCCTCTGCGAATGGGGGAGCGACAGTATTTTCCTCATTAAGCAAGTAATAAGTGCCAATTTATTTTTAACAGGAAGATAACAGAAAAACAGTGTCACACTACCTAAAAGATAATCACTGCTCAAATTTTGGTAGTGTTTCTTTAAGTCTGTTATTTGGACTTGGGGTCAATTATTTCCTTTTAAACAGTTTTAACCAAACTAAACATTGCCATTTACATCCTGCTATCTTAATTATTTTCTATGTTGCACAACCACATTGCTATCTGTTATTTCATCAGCTATAACTCAGTATAAGCTAAACATAAAATACATAATGGAATTACTGATAGTTTCATAACAGTCTCTGAAATATTTAGTTAGAGACAAGCATATTAAGAATTCTAGGCTTCAAAAAGCTAAACTTAATTTCTGGCAAGCATGACTGGTAATTACAACCAAAAGCCAAATATTATGGAGTCCTTTTTTAGACTAAGCAATTTTACCACTCAGCATATATAATCACTGAAACACGTCCAGCATAATGATATCTTTCAGCTACTGGCAACCATAAACGTCCCCGGAAGCCAGAGAAACGTAAAAATCTCTAATATGATCTGCAAAGTGAAAACTGTGTCTGAAAAAACTGATAATATAAAACTGGTTATAAGCATAATGTTTATTCAGAGATAATTCATACTCATATATTCTTCTCTATTAGAAGTAGCTATATAAAGGATCACAAAAAAACAAATCTAATACTTAAAAAATTTAAACTATCCAACAGTCTGAGTTCATGTACACATATCAAAGTATTCTCAAATTCTATGTAATATCATTGAAAGGGAATTATTTAAATTTTCAAAAATAGACATTTGAGCATCTCACAGTACCAGAAAATAAGGAAGTTCAGAATTGAAAAAGCAAAAACAAACCAGTGAGAACACACCAGGACACACCAGCTAACTCAAAGAGCTCCCAATGGCTAAGGCAGAATAATTTGAGCAACAAAATAAAATAGTACTGTATTCTAACCCAAAGTATAAAATAAAATTTAGGTATTCCCTGCCTCCTTAAGATGGTGGGACACAGCTCCCTGTCCCTTCAGCAGCTCTACCTGCTGACTTCCTTCCGAAAGTAAGCGGGGCGGGCAGGGACAGGGGGAGTACTCTACAGCGTGAAAACTGACCCACCCGACCTAGCCAGTAGACAAAGACATCTACAGTAACAATCCGTGCTGACATCAGGTACCAGCAAAAGAAGTGGTAACAATGGCACTTCACCTCTGCAGTGTTACCACCAAGAACTCATCATTCCTGTGTAATCCATGAGAAAAATATCAGACAAACCCAAACTGAGGGAAATCTTATATTCTATAGAATATCTCACCGGCACTCCTGTCAAGATCATCAAAAACAAAGTTAGTCTGAGAAACTGCCACAGCTAAGAGCAGCCCGAGGAGGACACAGTGACGCAATGTACCGTGGTACTATGGATGGGATCCCAGAAAGAAAAAGGACAGTGGGTAAAGACCATGGCAATCTAAATAAAGTGCAAACTTCAGTTACTAATACGTATCAATACTGGTTCATTAACCAAAACAGATGTACCACACTAACACAAGATGATGATAATAGGAGAAACCAGTTGTAAGACATACTGGATCTCTCTGAAGTATCTTTCCAAGTCTTCTATAACTCTAAAAATATTCTAAACTTTTAAGTCTATATATAAAATATATGTGTATTAGATTAAAATGGGTATATAGGTATAAGCAGATAAAATACATATCTGAATTTAAGAAGAGTAAGGATGTTAAAAAAAATTACTTACTTATTTCAAAGGCAGAGTTACAAAGAGAGGAGGAAGAAACAGAGAGAGAGAGACAGAGAGTGACAGAGATCTTTCATCTATTGGTTCACTCCCAAAATGGCCACAATGGCCAAGGCTAGGACAGCAAGGATTTGGTTGTTGTTGTTGTTCACTTCTGTATATTCCATTGTAGAATACCTCCTGGCACTCAGTAATTATTTTTGGAATGAATAAATGGACACACATGTTTTCTGACACTGGTTTTATTTATGTAACTCCATCTAAAAAAAACATTGTAATGGAAAAGTACTACGTAATACTGGTCAGGAAGCTAGCAAACATTCATTAATGGATCCATTCAACAAATTTTTTCGGGGCCAGTGCTGTGACATAGTGGGTGAGGCCACCATCTATAGTGGCGACATCCCATATGGGCGCCTGTTCGAGTCCTGGCTGCTCCACTTCCAATCAAGCTCTCTGCTATGGCCTGGGAAAGCAGTAGAAGATGGCCCAACTCCTTGGGCACCCACATGGGAGACCCTGAAGAAGCTCCAGGCTCCTGATTTCGAATCAGCCCATCTCCAGCATTGCAGCCATTTGGGGAGTGAACCAGTGGATGGAAGACCCCCCCCCCCAGCCCCCCGCCGCCGCCTCTGCTTCTCTGTAACTCTGCCTTTCAAATAAATAAGCCTTTTTAAAAATTTATCATATCTTTACCATAATACAGACACTATATTTACTGGATGTTGGGGACTCAAAAATAAAACACATGAAATAAACGGTCTAATTGTTGGGAAGAAAACCAAATCATCTGGGCCTTACCCATATGTGGACAATAATGATACAAAATGGTGAAGTATGAGAGAAGTGCCTGCTCTGGGTATCATGAAGAGTACACCAAGACAACACAGCTCTGCATGGGAAAGAAGTGGCAATTCATGAGCAAAAAACTGGCTTCTTTATTGAGAAGCATATAATATAATTCTGCGTGAGAACTTAATGAATCCAAACCTGTGTCATGCCTGCATGCATACTAAATTAAACAGTGGAAATAAAAACTGTTTGGGTAAACTTAAAAAAAGAAAGAAAGAACAGAAAGCCAAGAAGTTACCAAACTACTGTTGTGCAGGGAGATGAGGCAAGATTCTGTCCCACAAGGCACTAAGTGCAAGGCAAAGCATGGTGCTGGATGCAGACCATCAGAAGGCCTAGGGAGTCACTGGACAGTTTTGTTAGGCGGGCAATGCCACATAACCGGTAACCTGCACGGCTCACGTCTCCTGGAGACACAGCAGGCAGGGATGGGGCAGAGTGATCAGTATGCGCCGTGAGTGCAGCAGCAGTGAACTGCCACAGTGAGAAGGGGACAGAGTTGAGAACTACTTAGGAGG